TGATGGAACAACATCTGACTCATTCATTTAACCCGCCTAGATATCTTGCCTCAAGAGGAGTGAAATAAGGAATCACAAAATGATATTCAGTACTTGTACACTTTTTGTATGCGAAAATAAAGGTCTGTAATATATTCTAATGATGATCTTTTCTTTTAGAAAGAAAAGGATTTTTCAGTATGTGGGAAATCATGGATCGCCTAATGATTTTTGATTATCTATGAACTGCCAAGACACACTTGCGAAAGATCAGTCAGTCACTTAGGCCATCATGTATCTTTCGATACATGACTGACGGGGCAGATATTTTTTCCCCGCAGTAGTTAGACCAGTTGCCATCCAAGGCTATAGAACCCGGACTGTCCTGCTATTCTGACTAGGGAGAGAAGAAGTGGATTTATATCTTTTACAAGGTTATTAGCACGTTAAGTGAATGGATTCGACTGGAATTCGAACTCGGCTTTCCGATTTCACAGTCCGAGCCGCTATCCATTACTCCACCGAGCCTCTCTTGCGGAAGATAGTGAACTTATTCTGTTACTTTCTCCAAGGATTTTATCCTTCTTTGAGACTGATTGCCAGCCGATGCTATAGGAGCCAGTCTATTGGACGTAGATGAGATGCCTTTCAAGGGTATTAGAACGTTAAGTTAATGTAATGTATTCGACTGGAGAGGCAGACAAGTTGCAGAAATGGATAGCGGCTCGGATTGAGGAATCGGTGAACGAAGATCGAATTCTAGTTCATTCACTTACGGGAAAGGTCTGAATCCTCTCCTTCTCCCCTCAGCTATGGGTAAATAGAAGACCAAACTGGGTTCTATAGCCTTGGATAGCAACTGGTCTACCGCAGAAAGATATGGCAACCTGCTGCGGGAAAAAATCTGTCCCGTTAGTCATGTATCTTTCGATACATGGTCACCTAAACATGTATCATGCATGGCACATAACTGAATGACTGACTTTCCAGTCGAATCTATTACATTAACTTATGTACTAATACCCTTGGGAAAGGTATGAATCCTCTTCTCCTCCCATCTATGGGTAAATAGCAGGACAAACAGGGTTCTATAGCCTTGGATGGCAACTGGTTTACCGCAGAAAGAAATGTCAATTTACTGCGAGAAAAAAATCTGCCTCGTCAGTCATGTATGAAAAGATGCATGATTGCCTATGCATATATCACGAATGCCACATAACTGATTAGTAATATTACGTAAATCTTTTGATTTTTTTTCTATAAATATTTAACGATGTTCCACGTGTTCTCTTCTGTAATTCAACTATTTTATCTCTCCGTCTAAACTTGAACATCGTTAGAAAAAAACAAAACTGCTAAGGAATTTCAATCTTTTTTTATAGCAGGGAATGCCGGATAATTTCCTAACAGATAAAACTGGAGATTTTAGGCAATAAAGATTACACAGTATGTCTAAAATCCTTAGAGATGTTAGACGTTTAATAACTTATGACTTCTATCCAGAGTCTTATTTTGTTAAAAACAAAATAAGGAATATTGAAATATGCAAAATCATTTCTCCCATATGGCAATGAATGCTGTACATTCTCATCACAGATGAAGTAATATGTGATTCTACAGAAGGATGCTGAGAATACTCTATGCGGATCATGTGAGCAACGAGGAAGTTTCAAGGAAAATGAAAAATGGAACAATTATACTTAGAATCAGAACGGTTCTTGGACAATTAATGAGGAAAAGCGGCTTGAAGAATTTGACACTCACAACACACATTGAAAGCAAAAGGGAGAGAGAGAGAGGGAAACTCCCTAACAAACTTATGTAAATGGAAGTGAGAACAGGGGTGGGGAAGGATAGTAAAAAAGATGAACATTCCTAAGGTCTAGAAAGGATGAGAAGCTGTGGAGAACCATGGCTGGCCATATTCTGAGAAGCACGGCGCATATAAAGTGCTACTCCAAGACATTTTTAGTATGTTGTAATTTAATTGACGTCATTGTATTTTTTTTTTTATTTCTTTAATTTCCGCCATCTTTCTGTTAACTTTATGATTCGATTCTCAAGGAACATTTTTTATCTTTCGCAGCAATGTACAGCATCTAAGTGACATTTTCTTTATCAAGAAAATTCTCGAAGAGACGGAACCGATTTTGTGCAATATTTGGTAAAAATCACAGATGGGCGAATACCTTTCTGACAAATTATAAGAATTTCGGTCTGCTTACTAAACCCAAATCCAAATACACGAGAGGTCATTTCATTCCTGTTGGAGGGATCCTTGTCTGATTGATCGCGACATCAAAACCGTAGCCGTATTCACCACAGATGATCAATTACGGTGTGGTGAAGTTATTTAACTCATAGTGGGGTGTATTGAACAAAGTGTTGTACTTTTCGTAGACTGCTTGCAACCCAGACTATCGGACCAAGACTATTTTGGTATTCACCTAAAGTCGAGTTTGGAAAAGATGGATCCATGCCTCATCCAAAAAAATGTAACATTTTTTTTATTAGATTCGGGGATCGGACTAGTCCCGCTGTTTCAACGTCATATGGCCGTGGAATGGAAAATCTAGTAAGAATTAAATTAACTCTTGGTACCTTAGGGAATAAAGTTCATTTTATGTCAATGATAGCATCCGATAAAAGTAATAACTATTTAAATTAATGAAATTGATAAGAAATGATAAGGAGAATCGCCATCTATTTACGTTACGAGATAATAACAGCTCCTTCAGTTCCTTTGCGACGGGAAGGGACCTAACAGCTGTTCGAGGTCTTCGGGACTTCAACAGCTGTTGTAGACTTTCTCAACTTTCGACATTTTCCCTTGAACAAGATGGCGTCAGATGCAGCGGTTATCTGCTAGCTGTTTGTTCTTCTTTGATATTCAAGAGTTGGGGTCTCGCCTATTCCCGATTTCTTGACTCCTGCTGGAACAGCATGACTCCAGCCGCTGCGGTGGTCAGCTAGCTGTTCGTTCTCTTCTGATCTTAGAGAATTGGTCTCGCCTTTTCCAGACATTCTTGACTTCTGCTCGAGCTGCGCGGCGCCAGCTGTTGCGTTCGTCTGCTAGGTGTTCATTCTCTTCTGATCTTCAAGAGTTAGTCTCGCCTTTTATAGACATTCTTGACTCCTGCTCTAGCCGCTGCGTTCGTCACCATGATGTTCGTTCTCTTCTGATCTTCTGATTTTCAAGAGTTGGTCTCGCCTTTTCTAGACATTCTCGACTTCTGCTCAAGCTGCATGGCTCCAGCCGCTGCGTTCGTCACCATGATGTTCGTTCTCTTATAATCTTCTTCAAGAGTTGGTCTCGCCTTTTCTAGACATTCTCGACTTCTGCTCAAGCTGCATGGCTCCAGCCTCTGCGTTCGTCAGCTAGCTGTTCGTTCTCTTCGGAAAATGCAGAAGTTTGTCCGACCTTTTCCCGACCATCGTGGCTCCTCGATGACTGTGAATCGATGTTGTGAATTTCACGTACCTTTTGCAAAAACATGAAACCTTGATGAGGATTATGATAAGGAAAAAAACAACACTCGTAATGTCGTCATTTAGATTGTTTAAAAATAAAGAAAACGACATCTGATTAAACATTGGTCATTCAAAAAATAATGTCTTGAGTAGTAGACAATTTAAAATGGGTAAGTTGTTGATTTGGGATGCGACCTGTGCGGATACATTTTCGGCTGGTAATTTGATCAGGTCCGCGGTTGAGCCAGGATCCGTCGCCCGGGACGCAGAGATAAAAAAAAAATAGTTAAATATTCTTCTCTTGATGATACATTTTTTTTACTCCTGTGGCAGTGGAGACTTCAGGGGTTATTGGCCCTCGTTCGATGGCGTTCCTTCGGAGGATTGGTGCGATTGCATCTCGATTAAGGGACGAGCCTCGCGAAATGGAGTGGCTCTTGCAGCGTGTCTCACTGGCGATGGTTCGAGGTAATGCTTTCTCCATCATTGCAGCTGGCAGAGGTTAGAAAAATTGTTTATTGTTACGTTGTTCTGGAATTGTCATCAGTGGTCAACTGTACTTGTTTTGTTTCAATAAATTTTCCTTGATTTTCAACTTTAAAAAATTGCATGTTTAAATATTGAAATTATGGGAGAAGGAATATTCTAGCGAGTCACAACGGTTCGTGCATGCGTTCCTCTGAGAAAGATAGAAGATATTTTACAGTGATATAGTGTTGTAATTCAGTCAGTGAATTATCAACCATTTGTAGTTTATTTAACACCAAAAGAAATTTTTCATTGTAAGAATAATTTATTTTTTATTTACGAGTGACTATTGCATTATTATTAATTTTTTAAGAATAGCAACGATTTTTCCAGATGCATCCATAGTAATTGACCCGTAGCTGGGGAGAAATGAATTCGTACTTTTCCACAATTAAATTGCGCTTAAAGAGAATATAACGAACCCAGTTATTTGAACTCGATTCTCCTATTTTTTCCTTCTGAGCCATTAAACCAGCCGCACATCCGCAAGAAACAACAGCAAATCAAACACGTTTTCTGCGCGCTTATAGAGATTCCTGGGGTTGCTAAGCGTTTGTTCAAATACATTTTCATTCAACAATTGTTGAATATGGTAGGATGCTGTTACATTTGGAGAAGACGAGGAAGTCCAATATAAAATGCGCTGGTGGAGTTTTGTAAGTTGGTTTTAAGAATGTTCGTGTATTAAACTTGCTGTAATAAATTTTGTCTCTGACGAGGGAAAATTGTCGTCAAGAAAGGAAATGAGATGTTATCCCATCGCGCGGCGGTCTCGGCTTTTTGGCAGCTCCCAGGCGAGTTCCTAAGTGCGAAAGGCCTGGGGAGAGAAAGTAATTAATAGAAAAAAATGATTTTAACAAATAGAAGGAAATGAGAATGCAAACAGTGAAATTAAAATGGAATGGGGGCGGGCGGGGGGGGGGATAAATATAGAACGAGTAAAGAAAGAAAGAAAGAAAGGAATGAAGGAAGGATATAATGGAACAGCAAATAAATATTTAAAAAAAATGAATTATACATAATTATAAAGGAGGAAAAAGAATGAAAGAAAGAAAATGAACGCGCGAAAGATCACAAAAAGAAATAAGTAATGAGTGAATAACGGAAGAAAGAAAGAAAGAAATAAATAAAGAAGAAAGAAAAAGGAAGAAAGACGAAAGAAAGAAAGAAAGAAAGACAGAAAGAAAAAGGAAGAAAGAAAGAAAGAAAGAAGAAAGAAAGAAATAAAGAAGAAAGAATAAGGAAGAAAGACAGAAGAAAGAAAGAAAGAAAGAAAGAAAGAAGAAAGAAAGAAATAAAGAAAGAATAAGGAAGAGAGACAGAAGAAAGAAAGAAAGAAAGAAAGAAGAAAGAAAGAAAGAAAGAAAAAAGGGAAGAAAGACAGAAGAAAGAAAGAAATAAGAAAGAAAAAAGAAAGACAGAAGAAAGAAAGAAAGAAAGAAAGAAAGAAAAGAAAGAAAGAAATAAAGAAGAAAGAATACGGAAGAAAGACAGAAGAAAGAAAGAAAGAAAGAAGAAAGAAAGAAAGAAAGAAAAAAGGGAAGAAAGACAGAAGAAAGAAAGAAAAAAGAAAAGGAAGAAAGACAGAAGAAAGAAAGAAATAAGAAAGAAAGAAGAAAGAAAGAAAAAGGAAGAAAGAAAGAAAGAAAGAAGAAAGAAAGAAAGAAAGAAAAAAGAAAGATAAAAGAAGAAAGAAAGAAAAAAGAAAGACTTAAGAAAAAAGAAAGAAAGAAAGAACGAAAAAGAAAGAATGAATAACAGAAGAAAGAAGGAAAGAAAGAAAATGTAAAAAAGGAAGAATAAAATGGAACTAAAAATAAACAATTAAAAAAAGAATTATAAATAATTAGAAAGAACGAAAAGAATGAAGAAAGAAAAAGAAAGAAATAGAGAAGAAACGAAAGAATGAAAAAGAAATAAACAAAATGAGAAAGAAAGAAAGAATGAAAAAGAAAGAAAGAAAGAAAAAAAGGAAGAACAGAAGTACAAATAAATAATTAAAAAAAATGAATTATAAATAATAAGAAAGAAAGAACAAAAAAGAAAATCAAATTAAGAAAGAGAAAGAAACAAAGAAAGAATGAAAGAAGAATAAAATGTAACTACAAATAAATAATTAAAAAAAGAATTATAAATAATTAAAAAGATGGACATAACGAAAAGAAAGAAAGAAAAGAACGGAAAGAAAGAAACAAAGTATGAACGACAGAACGAAAAAGAAATATAAAAAGAGAAAAAGAAAAAGAAAAGGCAAAAGGAAGGAAGAATAAAAATGGAACAAAAATAATTAAATAATTTTTAAACATTAATAAAAGTAAATTATAAATAATTAGAAAGAATAAAACAAATGTAAACAAAAAAGAAAGAAAGAAATAACGTGAACCACTAATGATAAATGTGAAAGAAAGAATAAAAGAATTTACTACTGATTAAATAATTTCAAAGAGATGAATGTAAGGGAATTACAGAGAATAAGAAAGAAAGAATGAAAGAAATAAATAAATAAAGAAAGAAAGAATCTATCAAAGAAAAAACATTTAAAAAAAAGATAGGTTAAATTATGTGAGAATAAATTAAAGCAATAATAAAAATTAATAAAATTAAAAATAAGAAAACATCAAAGCAATCAAAGGAAAAGCAGAATTTGAAATAAAATAAAAAAAAGAAAATTGGTCGGCATCAAATATTTTGCATGTCATGAGGAAAAGGAAAAAAGATGAAGATGCTGAAAATGAGGGTAAGAAGATGACCAAAAGCAAACGGCCTCGTCCAATTTCAGATAAAAATGCGTCTTTCAAGATAGATTTACAACAACGACGATGTTTTCATAATTGGGTGTGTCCGACACCCCCTACCCGACGCCAGTGTAACGATGATTCCTTTCAGAAGCTGCCAATGGCGGTAAGGCGGTTAACATTGGACGTTGCCTTCAGCAAGGGAAGCTCGGATTTCAGGGTAGGAAATATTTGAGTATCTTGTTCACGTTACGTTCAACGGGAACGAAATGTGTCTGTGTTATTGATAAAGATTTTACGGACGTCTGAGTGTGTCTATGTGTGCAATCAATCAATAATCTACGATATATATATATATATATATATATATATATATATATATATATATATATATGTGTGTGTGTGTGTGTGTGTGTGTGTGTGTGTGTATACCAAATGTCATGAGAACGAAAATAATATAAATTCTAACGTCCAGAGCATTAATTCAAAAGACGGCTCAATACCGAGAGTAGAGCAATAATTATTTATTATAATTTTTACATACGGACAAAAACAATTTGCTCACTACAAAGATGCTTTCTTGTTTCGATGCGGCTGCATCTCGACTGGTGAGAACCAAAAAATGCTTATAAAGAATTATGTTTATAAGCAAACCGCTTATCACCTTACATCTCATATATATATATATATATATATATATATATATATATATATATGATAAGCAAATATAAATGGATATAAATCCGACAGAATAAAGAAAATATCTAGAAAAACAAAACAAAAATCTTTAAAATGCGATTATGTTGTTTTAATATGAATGAAATGTCGACGTCTGACGTTTCGGTTTAATAACCTTCTTCAGGACAATATTCATTAAAAATACAATTAACATAATCAGTATAACACGACGAAAACGATGGACATAAAAACAAGTCTTATCCAAAACAGATAAATGAAAATTTTAAATGATCAGCTTTCCGTTTGAGCGTGGTCACGTTGTCGTCAAATGGGCGACGCTTTCACAACGTATTCTTAAAAATTTATAAATTTGATTCCGATGGAAAAATTTTTCATATATACAGTTCGTTAGAAAATCTTTTCTGTTCTTGTAGGAATACGCGGAGACTAGTAGATTCCCGTATCTTCGGATAAGCATGCAGCCCTCCATGTAATAAAATGAATTCAGGTTTGTATTTCCAGTGGACAGTATGATAAGCAAATATAAATGGATATAAATCCGACAGAATGAAGAAAATATCTGGAAAAACAAAACAAAAATCCTTAAAATGCGATTATGTTGTTTTAATATCATACTTATTATAAAACCCAGGTTGTGTGTGTGTGTGTGTGTGTGTGTGTGTGTGTGTCTGTTCGTTTATATATTGGATCGGATTTCCTACAATTTTCAACCGATTTCAACAAAACTTCACAGGACTACGTAAAATTACCTTGCGGTGGTTCTGACAGCGTCAAAAAGTGGAAAAACACAATAGTTTTTGCACGAAATCAATTTGAAAACACGATTAAGAGGCATTGCTGTCGCGAGAATGAAAGGGGGACAACTCATATCGAGTTATACTTATTATAAAACCCAGATTTTTTTTGTGTGTGTGTGTGTTCCTTTATATATGGGATCGGATTTCCTACATTTTTCAACCGATTTCAACAAAACCGTTTTGGCAGGTAGTGTCTCTTATTGTCTTGCACACTTTTTTATTTATTTTTATATTCAGAATGCTTTAAAAATTCCATTTACAAGACAATTGTTTATAATAAAATTCTATTCAATCGGTAGACTCATAACGATTGAAAAGTTTGAGTTTGGGTTTGACCAATTCGTAAAAAAAAAAAAAACTAATTAAGACATGCGTGTCCGTCAACCTTAAACAATAATCTTTGTCAATTTTATTTTTTAGTCTTTATGATGGTCAATAATTGATCTATCTCTTACTGTTACATCCCGGGCTCTACTGTTAGTCATTACTAAAAAGCGAAAGCAACAGAAGCTTAATCAGGAAGACAGTCGATAACGATTGACATTGCATTTAAATTATTGAAGCTTAAAGTTAACTGGAATGCATGCAGATGGAAGACATTTCCACAAACGAGAAGTTACATCAAGAAACTTCAGCATGGCTGATGCTAACCTTCAGAAGGGTGACTGATTAACCTTTTCCGCTAAAATAAAATGGAAAGATGATATTGAATCAATTGCTGGGTCTACTGCTACGAAAGTTGGTTCTCTGTGCCGTCTTAGATAATTTTTCTCACCAGAAACATATTTATAAGTCTACAATGTAACCTAACATTGAAACTTGCTACACACATATGGTCTGATGCTCCTGGAATAAATTTAGAGATTCTTGATAAAATAGAAATAAGAATCTACAATATTATTGGTCCTGACCTGGCATCTCGGCTTCAGTTATTTTCACGCCGCCATATCCTCGCTTCACTGGATTTTAAATAGTTTTAGAGTAATTGTTCTGATGACCTTTCCTCTATGGCACTTAGCGAATTTAAGCGCGGTACGAGATTGTCGGTAAGGTCTCATCATTTTACAGGTGGAAATGCGAGATGTAACCGTAAGTTCTATACTGACAGTTACTTCTATCGCACTTCTTGCTTTCCAGTCAACTTCAATCTTCAAAAATTTAAATGCAATGTCAATCGTTATCTTCTGTCTTTTTAATTCCAGTTCTTTTATTGTCCTCTCTCATTAATAGTAGTTTTTCTCATATTCTCTAACACTCAGTAACCCCTTGCATCCTAGTGGCTTTATTGCCTTTGATCTTCAAAAATTTAAATGCAATGTCAATCGTTATCTTCTGTCTTCTTAATTCCAGTTCTTTTATTGTCCCCTCTCATTAATTGTAGTTTTTCTCATATTCTCTAACACTCAGTAACCCCTTGCATCCTAGTGGCTTTATTGCCTTTGATCTTCAAAAAATTAAATGCAATGTCAATTGTTATCTTCTGTCTTCTTAATTCCAGTTCTTTTATTGTCCACTCTCATTAATTGTAGTTTTCTCATATTCTCTAACACTCAGTAACCCCTTGCATCCTAGTGGCTTTATTGCCTTTGATCTTCAAAAATTTAAATGCATTGTCAATCGTTATCTTCTGTCTTCTTAATTCCAGTTCTTTTATTGTCCTCTCATTAATAGTAGTTTTTCTCATATTCTCTAACACTCAGTAACCCCTTGCATCCTAGTGGCTTTATTGCCTTTGATCTTCAAAAATTTAAACGCAATGTCAATCTTTATCTTCTGTCTTCTTAATTCCAGTTCTTTTATTGTCCTCTCTCATTAATTGTAGTTTTTCTCATATTCTCTAACACTCAGTAACCCCTTGCATCCTAGTGGCTTTATTGCCTTTGATCTTCAAAAATTGAAATGCAATGTCAATCGTTATCTTCTGTCTTCTTAATTCCAGTTCTTTTATTGTCCCCTCTCATTAATTGTAGTTTTTCTCATATTCTCTAACACTCAGTAACCCCTTGCATCCTAGTGGCTTTATTGCCTTTGATCTTCAAATATTTAAATGCAATGTCAATCTTTATCTTCTGTCTTCTTAAGTCCAGTTCTTTTATTGTCGTCTCTCATTAATAGTAGTTTTTCTCATATTCTCTAACACTCAGTAACCCCTTGCATCCTAGTAGCTTTATTGCCTTTGATCTTCAGAAATTTAAATGCAATGTAAATCATTGTCTTCTGTCTTCTTAATTCCAGTTCTTTTATTGTCCTCTCTCATTAATAGTAGTTTTTCTCATATTCTCTAACACTCAGTAACCCCTTGCATCCTAGTGGCTTTATTGCCTTTGATCTTCAAATATTTAAATGCAATGTCAATCTTTATCTTCTGTCTTCTTAAGTCCAGTTCTTTTATTGTCGTCTCTCATTAATAGTAGTTTTTCTCATATTCTCTAACACTCAGTAACCCCTTGCATCCTAGTAGCTTTATTGCCTTTGATCTTCAGAAATTTAAATGCAATGTAAATCATTGTCTTCTGTCTTCTTAATTCCAGTTCTTTTATTGTCCTCTCTCATTAATAGTAGTTTTTCTCATATTCTCTAACACTCAGTAACCCCTTGCATCCTAGTAGCTTTATTGCCTTTGATTTTCAGAAATTTAAATGCAATGTCAATAATTATCTTCTGTCTTCTTAATTCCAGTTCTTTTATTGTCCTCTCTCATTAATAGTAGTTTTTCTCATATTCTCTAACATTCAGTAATCCTATTGCGTCTTATTGGCTTTGTTGCCTTTCATGATGGTGAATGATTTAAAAAAGTACTTTTTGGCGTTTGGTTATTCGATTGGAACGGGAATCGAACTCAGAAGAGTTACTCATGTTACCGAAAGCCACGGCCTTTTTTTGTATTCATAAATAAAAGTACCAGAGACATTTATTTCATTTCCTTATAGACTCACAGAACAGGCAATTATCAATCCCTTTTGTAAAGGTAGATATTATAGGCTGAAAGCTGTGTCATATATTTGCCTTATAAATAAAAGAATATTCTGAAATGTGTGCTCGTATCGCTTGCTTTTATACCGTTTTTATTGTGAAAGCATTAACATGCTAAATAAATTCTGATATAGTGTCTATTGTGTTCTCTCTCACTCACTCTCTCTCTTACTCTGTGTTTATGTGAGTCCCTCATGTATGCGTGCGTGTGTGTCTTCCTGTTTGGATGTTTAGTGGGGGGGTGGGAGGGAATTTATTATTTGCACGTTATTATTAGCGTTATTTAATCGCCACAACGAATCTCTTAATGCGTTCATATTCGCTTCCTCTGCTTTGTTTCTCCTCCTCTCTATTTCTCTCTCTATCTATCTATATAACCGTCTCCATTTCTCTTTTCCTCTACACATCTATCTTCTTTTTACTGGATCTTTCTTTATATCAGGCTATTTATCCACCAATCTCAGTCTGTTCATATCTATCTATCTATCTATCTATCTATCTATCTATCTATCTATCTATCTGCCAGTCTCAGTCTGTTCATATCTATCTATCTATCTATCTATCTATCTATCTATCTATCTATCTATCTATCTGCGTCTGTTCATATATATCTGTCTATATCAGTGTTCCTAAATATCGTTTATATATCCATTTCAATATGTTCTACCTAGCTACATATGTGTGTGTATGTGTGAGTGTGTGTTTATACCTGT